TGTACTATTCTCCTTTTACCTTTTTATTTCTTTATTCCATACTTATATTTTCAACAAAAAGACATGGCATTGATTAGGAATTGATGTATCTTGTGTGATCTAGATGCAATATAATTAAATATATTTTTAGTATATGACTCACTATATAATGAATGAACAAAAAAGTTTAAGACGCTTAACCTTGTATATTTAAAGTGTTTTAAAAAGGGTTAAGGGCAAAAATTCCCTACAACTATTCACAAAGAAGCACTCAATATTTTAAACTTTTAAATGGAGTAATGTTGCCCTTAACTTCATAAAAATGGATCAATGTTGTCCCTGCCATCAAAAGAGAGAAAATGTTCATTATCTAGAGGTGTGGGCCCCATAACATTGTTTGGAAGTTTTATCAAAGGAGTGACCACTTTTATTTAAAAATTATTATAAAATTAATAGACTTGAATTAGCTATAATTATATTTTCAATATGTATTAGGGTGAGAGAAAGTAAAAGAGTGAGAAGGGGTAAGAAGGATGAGGATAATTTTACAATAAAACTATTTATATCAAGCCATTTTATTGAGAATTAGAAAAAATGGGCTAAGAATGGCTTGGAAGGCCATCCCAAGCTATTCCACTCCCTTTTTAAAAAAAATTATCCTAAGCAATAGTGTAGAACTTTTAACTATCCCACTCCATACCTTCCTATATATATATATATATATATAAACTCCTAAACAATATCTAAGTATGAAGTGTGATCCCTAGAACAAAGAGCAAAGAGCATGATATGTACATAAAGTCTTCACTCCTTTTATAGTCTTCAGAGGCTCTCTTGCATTAGCACTCTTCTAGCTAGGGGTGTTCACTGGACAAGACAGGGATAGCCCTATCCCATGTCTCATCACAACAATCACAAGTGACCTCCTAGCTACTAGTATTATAACAATAATACAATTATTGAGTTACATAACTTAGTGAGCAACTAGTAGTGTAAAAAGAAAATAAAAAATAAAAAGCATATATACATTAACTCTAATTGAGTAAATAAAGTATTAAATATTAATAAAAATAAAAAATATATAATAATATATTCAGGACGGGATGTGATGTCTCAATAGTGATCCCATATCCCATTTCATGCTAAACATATGTTTCTCCTGTTCCTTTTTTTTTGCTGGGAAAAACCCATCCGACCTGATCAAGACAAAACTAGGCCAATCAGGACAGAACAAGCATGAATGCCTCTACTTCCAACCACTCTTCTAAAATGGTGTCAAGTTCATTTGCAATTTTCTTTACAGCCTTTTCATGTCCATCTAAATCCAACCATCAAAGATGGGAGTTCTTCCCTTACATGAAAGGCATTTACCTTTGGGAAAGAGGTGACAGTGAGACTAATTTAGAGAAGAAGAAATAGTTACGCCTATAAGGAGAGCAAGTTAGGAGTGATTGTCATATAAAGTATGGAATCCGAGTGCAATGCTTATGCCAACTAGGACTTGAGAGAGAGAGAGAGAGAGAGAGAATTGAGTCGGAGCAATAGTTGTGCTTGTAAGGATGCAAGGAGAGAGAGTGTTCTTTTTCCTTAAATTTCTGTATAGTTTTCCAAGTTGATGCCAAGTGTATACCACATATACATGTTTGTGGGGGACATACCTCTAAATATTAAACATTTTCTCTCTCTTGATGGCAGAGGTAACATTACTTTGTTTGTATAAGGACAACATTGCTTCACTTAAAAATTTAAAATTTTGAGTATTCTTCCGCAAATAGATCAAGGACCAAAAATGCCCTTTAATGTTTTTTTTTAAATTATTTTTCCTTTTTAATAAAAAAATTGTTTGGATAGGTTCTCTTTATTAACTTGTTCTCAAAACTTATTTCTATTTTTAAGTTTTAAAATGGGAAAAATAAGAACAATAGTGGTTTTGTGCTTACTTTTATTTATATTCTCATTTACCACTAATTACATCAATTACCACTAACTATTGCTAGTTAGGGATGCCTAGGGATGAGCTTCACCCTAACTTGATGATTGGCCCAATGTTTGAAGATCGAGCTGCTTGAAAGTTAAGGCCGAGTTTTGGCCGAACCAAAAAATCATTATAAAAATTATTAAAAATTTGAGAATAATTTTATTAATAAAAATATAAAATATAATTATTTAAAATACATTAATTTTAAAACCAATACTAAGATTAAAAGTAATAATTTTTTAAATTATATATAATTAACAATTTTCCATTATTTTTACATAACATGGCGTTAAAAAAATCAATCTTAAATTTTGGAAAAAAGATTAGAAAAATTGAAATCATTAAAATATTCATAACATGAAAACAATATAATACATAAAAAACTAAGTAAAATAACACTATAAAATAGTTAATTTTCAAAAACAATTAAAAAAACAAAACAAAAAAGTTCAGGTTGTGATAGCTTTAACCCCAGCCCTATGCTCGGTTTGAAGCTTAGCTCGACCATCTTGAATAAAATTGGGCTAACTAAGTTGTTGGGCCACTTACACAACCCTATTGCTTGGCTTGACTCAATATATTTATTTTTATTTGAGTATATGAGTAAATTATTTTTTAAACTTTATGTCTAATACTACTATAGATTTTGAGCTTGTTTATTATGCAAATTATTCATTTAATTTTTAAAAATAATGTAATTTGACCTATATCATTAGTAAAAATTAACTTTAACCGTTAGTTGCTTAGAAAATGATAGAAAATAACATAAAAAATTATAGAAAATGATAAAAAATTTACAATAAAGAACCAAACAAAATTAAAGACAAGGACACAAAATCACAGAAAAGGAAAACAATTTTGTTTGGTCCTTTTCTATAATTATTGAGATTTTTTCTATTATTTTTTAATAAACTAATGATCAAAGTTAATTTTTATTAATGATAAGTTTTATTTGGTCATTTTTTATAATTTTTGAGATTATTTTGTGTCATTTTCTAACAAACTAATGATCAAAGTTAATTTTCATTAACAATAGGAGCAAGATTGCATCAATTTCAAAAGTTAAGGGAATAATTTGCATGATAAATGAGTTTAAAGTTTATAGTAGTACTAAACTTAAATTTCATAAAGTAATTTGCTCATTTATCCTTCTCATTTTTATGTTATGTTTGGCAATATGTTTGTATTATCAAATTTATTGTTTTGAATTATGAATGTTGGATAATGAACATTAGTAGTTTATACTTTTTATGGACGCTAAACATTACGCCTTTGTTGCGTTATTTGTATTATTATTTTTGGATAATTAATGTTTGACAATTAGTTTATAGTATTATTTGTTATGTCGTATGCTTATGTTAAATGTTTGTTATTTTTATTGTAATTGGTTCAATAATTTCAAATTTCTAGGTTGTTTTTTGTGTGTGACTTTTTTAAGTTTTCACTGTTGTTGATAATTAGGTAAAATCATTTTAGGAGTCAAATTGGGCATATAAGTCTGAGCAAGCTCGATCCAGCCTGCCTGGCCCGTCAAACCATGTGCATGGTCAGGCATTAAGCTGAATTTCATGCCTAAATGGGGTTTATGGCTGGACAATGAGTTATTACTCTATTCATACATAACTCTACTGATTACACTATAGTAAAAAAAAAAAAAAGCTTTTTACAATTATTAAAAAATTACTTTTTATATCAACTCACAAAGTGATATTATTTTAAGAGACATAGAACATTGGTTATAACTAAAATTGATGTAAAAAATAAACTTTTTATATCAATTCTAGCTACAACCTATATAAAAAATAAATTTTTTATAATGGTTGTGGCCAAAACCGACAACTCATGTAAAAAAGAGTATTTAAAAAAAAAGGAGGTTTTTTTGGTTGTAGGATTTACAACCAAAAAAAAACCCTTAAAATAAATAAATAAAATCAAAAGAGATAAAATTGATCAACAACCATAAAATAAGAAAGAAATATTTTATTTAGTCAAATACATAACAATTCATGTGTAACTTTTATTTATTCAAATCATAACAAAAGAATTGGAATGATAATTAAATAATATAAACAGAATTTTTGTATCCTAGAAAAACATAAAATTCCTTAGATATAGATGCTTTATCATTCATATTAGGAAAATATTACACCTAGGACAGGCACTCTTGAGTACGTTAAAAAACTAAAGAGTGCAGCTGGCTAAACTCACAACTTTAACAAAACTATCATAGGATAAGGATTATTTCACCCAGTGCGCCTAAAAGAGTAATAAAATTCCAAGAACATAGTTATCATTAAATTCCTACCGTTGGCATCAAATAACAAATTACAAGAGGAAGACAGCAAAATCCCAAAATTTAAAGCAGAAGGAATCTTTCGGAGAGAGTTACCATGCTAGAACCTAACTAATTCAACAATAAACTATGAACACAAAATACGCAGTGAGGAGAAAATAAACTGACCTTCACCACAGCCGAACTTGACAGTCATAAAGCAAGTTTGACTATGGAGGAACTCAAGCAGAGTAGTTGAACTTTACATATACAGAGCATACAATAACAATATTATCTTTTTATTATCTATAATGCTCTTAAGAAGCGGCTAAACCATATTACAAGCAACAGAGTGAACTTTTAGAAATTACAAATTCATAACATGTTGTGGCTAAACCAGAGGAGGTGAACCCGTAAGAAGTGGCTGAAGTCGGCACGAGGTAGATGGAACCGAACAGTGGTGTAATAACAACAAGCATTTAGCTGAGCAATAGAGATGACGAAATGATTATTGGACAATCGCTATTCGATATTATCCATTAATGTGCTTAAAACATGTTTTCAAAAGATTTTTTTTCCATGTTTATTGATATGATTTTGAAAACAAATGATTGAAAAAGATTTTTTTTTTATTTCTTGTTACCAAAACTTATATATAGCTTCCCAAAACTAGTCCGAGAACGTAAAAGAAGAAACAGAATCATACAAGCACTTTCGCACTTTTCCATCCATATTTTTCCATAAGTATCACATTGGGAAAAGAGGTTATAATTCTATAATAAAATGATCTTTAATAAAAGAATCAATTACACGGCAGGAGATGTTGTACTAAATTCTATAAATAGATACAATGAATCAATACACACACACAGACATACACACTGATGTGTAACATAAAATTCACAAGAAGTTATGTTATTGGCAAGTGTAGCATCTAGTATCTAGTATTTATTCTATTTTGAAGTGATGCAATACTGCTTATGGGTATTTTTACAGGGAAATTTGGGGACAAAATCTTGCTGATGGAACACACAAATCAGAGCCAAAGAGGACAACGCGAGAGCAATAGGACCAAACATCCACAGCAACAAAGGCACACTAAAACACAAAACTCTGTTCGCAATAAGACCCAAAGCGAATCCTCTCTCTAACACCGTCTCTGCGTGGTTTTCAGGCAAGAGATTGCCGGAGGCATTCATCAAGAAATTCGCGTCAATGAGAAACCCTATGGCCATGGAACTGCAGACGAAGCTAATCAGCACGCAGAAAGATGCGGAGGCGTACTTAAAGGCGTAGATTTTGTCTGATTTTGAGCCCAGCAGTGTGCCGGTGAAGAGGTGGTGGTGGTTGTGGCCGTGGCTGGCGGTGTAGGTGGCACTTGTCACGGCGGCGAAAGCGAAGTTGCTGAGAACGGTTATGGTCGCTGTGAGGATCGTGGTCATAAGAGTGTTTCTCAGGCTTTGTACTACTAGCATTGCCTTCTCTTTACCTCCCTGCTCCAGCAAAACACAATCAGTGAGTGGAAATTCATGAATGCATAATTCATATTTGTTGGTTTGTCTTCAAGCACAATCAGCGAGTGGAAATAAAGAGGTTGGTTTCATGTCTACATATCTGGATCTGATCGAAGTCTAGTTCACACACATTTCTCACCTATCACTTTCTGATTTCAATCATAAAATACTAATTAATTAATGAGAAATTGGTCTAGGACTTCTAACTTGCCTTTTTGTTATGCCATGCCTTCCCAACTTTTTTTTTTTGAGTTACTGGCTATATTTTGACGTCTCAAAATCCTTAGATTTTTGTATTTTGAAGTAAGGGTCATATTTGTTCATGAATTATATACAAAATATTATAAATACTTTTAAATTTAATTATGAGTCAATTCTGCCTTTCAACATTCACTCTATCTAGAGTTGTGCAAATAAATTGCGGGCCAGCCCACACGGGTTAATATTTTAGTAGGTTAGATTATGTTAGCCCACCAAAATAAATGGGCTAGGAAAATTCAACCCAATTCATACATTAACGGGCTTGCAAGCCCCCGGGCCAGCCCACAAAATGCAAATTTATTTTTTAAAATGATTTAAAGTATAATCAACATATCATATATATAAACAATGATTTTTTTCATATTATTTTTTAAAATAAAATTTAAATATAAACTCATATTATTTTTCTTAATGAATTTATATTTGTGATTTCAATCAATAAATCTTATAATATTAATAAATAATATATATTTAAAATATTCTATAAAAATTAATAAATAATTGATTTACAAAATGTAACAAAAATTTCATTTGCAAATTGTAAGAAAGATTTACATTATCTTTCAAACGTAAAGAACATATTTGGAACTTATAAGTTATAGATTTGAAAAATATTATTATTATTGTAGATTTATAAAAGAAATATTATGGTTGAAAAATAAATTATTTTTAAAAAACATAGACTAGCTTGCAGACTAGCTCATTTTAACCTGACATTTTTGCAGGATGGACTAACCCAACTCATTTTAAAAATTGAGTCAATTCTTTCAATCCAACCCATCAAAATGACAGGTTGAACAGGCTAGCCCGCAAGCTCAACTCGTTTTCCTAGCTCTAACTCTATCATCACCCTATCATTAAAATACTTAGTGTCCATTAGTCATTATTGGTTCTCACTATTTTATTAATATTTTTTAGGCTAAATTATACATTACTTCCCTAAACTTTGAATCACATACACATAATTTCCTTAACTTTTGAAACTTTACAATGAACCCCCCGAACTCTTATATTTATATAGATAACTTTATATGATTAATTTTATATATTAATTATTTATACATAATTTATAGTTTAGGGAATTATTTATATATCAATCAAAGTTTGGGGATTTGAACATATAAAAAAAAAAGTTTAAGGGGATATAATTATGGCTTAGAGTTATTTGCAAAAACCTTAAAGTTCAAGGAGGTTTATTATCAAGTTTTAAAAGCTAAGAGGGTTTTTGTATATGATTCAAAATTTAAGAGAGTTGTGTGTAATTTAACTTTTTTTTTACAAATTAATGGTTATTTTTGCTCTTCAAATTTTATTTGAAGGATCATTTTTGCTTCTCAACTCAAATATTTTATAATAAAAAATATTTAAAAAAATGTGGGACCCACTAATGGTGAGAAAATGACAGGGTAATGAGGAAGGAAGTTTTTAAAAGCAATAGATAAAATTGACCCATAATTTAGTTTAAGAGCATATATGACTTTTCATGTATAATTCTAAAATAAAAATAACCCTTAATTCTTGTATTTTTTACCATTTTTCAGCTGTAAAAGTCGCTTAAAAAAAAAGAAAAACAAATTCAAGAGGCAGAACACTAGCGAAAAACTCATTAAACACCCAGGTTTAGAAAAATCTTTTCACAATCACATAGCTATGATTTTGGATAGAACAAAATTGAGGAGAGGGGGGGGGGGGACCTGATTTAAGTGGAGGAACCAAGCGGATCTTCTTTGCCTCTTGATTCCATAAGCAGTTGTGGAGGGTTTGTTCTTGATGTAGTGACAGAGATAGCCATGGTAAGCTGCTACAAGGAACACACTCACTGGGATCAAAACGACATCCAAATAATCACCTCCTTCCATTCCCATCCTTCTACACTTCTCATCTTTGAGGTTTCATTTGGTCCTTCTTATAATGCCTTGTCTGTAAAACAAGTTCCAAATTACTTGTTATAATATTGTTAGTGCTCTTCATATAGTGGAAATTCTACACTCTTCACTAGCTTTGTTGTGCAATTTGAGTCATATCAAAAATGGTGATAATATACTAAACGTCTGTGTATGACTGTCTTCAACTCTGCTTGCAATCTTACAATTAATATTTTAATCTTCGCAATCTAAGTGACACTTCTTATGAAGATTGAGAAATAAATGATGAGAGTCAAACAATCGATGCACTCAGTTGTTATTTTAAACTATGAAGAGATAATAACAACCACATGCATTGTGGTATGATTTCACATATGCTTGGTGTCTTTTAATTTGCCAATAAAAAGCATAGTTAGGTCTCCCATTCTTTTGAAATTATAGAGGATAACTTTTAAAAATAATTAAGTACGGCTCCAAAAAATAACTAATTTTTACATAAGGAGTAGACTAAAAAATAGTAAAGATTATCTCCTTTAAAATATTTGAGGTAAATAGTAGATATCTCTTAATTAAATTATTACATACACAAAAAAATATGTGATTCAAACTCTCAATATTTATTTAAATGACAAGAGCTCACAAATAATTGAGATTCAAAGTAATATTCTTTCGGTGGGCATTGGCATTAAGAGACACTAAATGGTGGTGCTTAAGTCACTAGGCCTTAGATGAGAATAACTTTACTTTGGTTTCTTATAAATATGATTTTTTGTTTACTTGAGCCTTTTATAAAGTTTGGGTCATGTATTATACACATACTCTCTGGTTCATAATATAGGCATTTTCTAGAAGTCATACTTGGTCTTAAATATTAGGTATGGAGTCATTCTTGTAGTTTTTTGGTTAAAATATATCCATGCTTCATTTTTTTTAAAAAAAAAAGATCTATTAGAATTTCAATTATTACTATGACTGATGAGAGTATAATTAAAAAAATGTACAATTTTTTGAAAAATTAAAGTTTAAACTAATTGTTTTAGAATGGTAAAATATTTACCAAAATTTTATATAATAATAGGTGGGAGAAAGTATATATTACTAACAAACCAGACACAGAGTTCAATACATATATAGACACAGAACTGAAACAAAACCATGGAGCAGGCAAGAATGCTAACTAGAACAAGAATATTGTTATTGACGATCATAAGGAAAACATCCACCATGACAGTTGCACCAACCCAATTACCTAACTGAGTAATTATTCACAAATAACATATCTCTTAACCTCATCAATCATAAAGCTTTCATTTTGATTTTTCATTTACGAGTCCTTTTCATTTTTTTTCTTTTTAAATTTGGCCCCTTTCAAATAAAATTATTATCAACAATGATGTTTTATCAGTCTACTATAAATGATGATGGCAATAGTAATTAATGATATGTAGTGCATTTTTTAAAGACAAGTCCGGCAATGTACTGATAGTTTGGTAAAAAGACATGGATAGGTGAAAGTTTAATTCAAAACTATCTTTGGATTGAAAAAAAAAAAAAAATACTGGGGAGAACTATTCCCAATTTAACACATCATTTGAATCTGGCAATATTCCTAAATGTTATTATCAATCAATATATAGGCATTGTAAATGGGATTGAAGTAAATCATTAAAAGAAAACATAACTTTAGGTTATTACATTTTATTTACATTTTACTTTCGGTCCTTGCACTTATTTTCAGTGTTCTATGTCTCTACATTTTTTTTTTCATTGTTTCCACATTTTGTTTATGAAGGAACCTAAAACAATAAAAAATAAAAATACAAGGACCTAGAATATAAAAAAAAGTGTAAGGTTCAATAATAAAATAAAAACAAAATGCAGAGGTTAAAAGTTATTTTTTCTTAATAATTAAACTTAAAAGTCACACACTCTTGCCTTCATGTTTGTAATTAGCCAAAAAAAAAATGAAGAGAACAAAATGTAGAAATCCAAATCTTACAAGAGAAACTAAATTAGAGATAGTTTTACGAAAAAAACGTTCTATCTATGTTCCTTAGGTTAAAAATTAGATGCATTCGTAGTGCATTGAAAGAAATTAGAAAAATAATATATAAAATGCATAACTCATGAATAATGGCATTTGTTAAAAAAATTATATTTTCTAAATAATAATTTTTATAAAACAATCTAATTTTTTTTTATTATTGTATCAAGTTTACTTATTGTCAAATCCTATTAAAATAACTCTCCCAATGTAATTTTTTTTCTATTCATAGGAAAACATCTTAGTTAAAAAGATTTGAATTCCTTGCATAAACACAATTTAACAGAATTATTTTTTATAAACACAATTTGTTTTATATGACCTATTGGGAAGAGTTGGTGAGAGCAACTGTTTCTGCAGTGAACATGAGAAAGGCTGGGTTGAATAACGAATCCAGTGAATGAAACTGAAAATGGGCTTAACCGCAAAAATGGAGCACAGATTCTTTATATCAGGGCCTCTGATTTTTGTAAAAATATAGGAGGATGGAATTTCAATCTTTTAAATCATTATCTTCATTTTGATATGATCAAATGTATCTCTATTGTGCAACTTTCTAATCAACAGGATGATGAAGATATCTTTTTTTGGTGACCTTTCTCATATGGCAATTTCTCCATTAAATCTACCTATAAGGCTATGGAGTTACATAAGGAATAGCATCACTTTAATTTATAGACTAAGATTTAAAAATGACCTACATATAAAAAAAATATTTTCTTTGAAAGGTTGCCTTAAATCATCTCCGACTCTATCTCATGCATGCAATTGGGAATACTACCCAATAATGTACTTATTTTTTTGGTTGTAACTCTTTTAACTCTTCAATGCATATTCTTCAGGACTGTGAGGAAGCTAAAGAGATTTGGAAAAAAGTTTAACACATTCTTCTCTCTTAATATGCAGGATTGGATTATCTGGAATGCAAGGGTAGAAGTCGAAAGCTTAAAAATAAGAAGAACACCATGGCAAAAACTTCTTGCACAAACTTGCTAGAATATTGTGGACAGTGACATTACCTTCTCTGACACCCAATAAATAAATAATGACTTGAAGCTCCTATCCAAAGCCTTTTGCTTGAACAAAAGAGATACTGCTAGTAAGGTTAAATGGATCCCTTCGGATTACGGATGGGTTAGACTCGATACTAACAGCCTAGTCAACATTAATGGAGTTACAGTTTGTGGAGGTATCGTCAGAGACAACAAAGGAAATTGGATCAAAGGATTTTTCAAATACCTTGAATATTAACCTAGCACTTTAACTGAATTTACGGGAATCCTTGAAGGTCTTAATCCTTATTGGAATATGAAATTAACCAAAGTTAATGTTCACATTGATTTAATGGAAGCATTGTCACTTATTGTATGCTATGAAAGCCACCCCTTATCAGACGTTATCAAGAAGATTAAGGAGCTCACTATGAGAGGCTGGATTATTACCTTTGATCACGTCTGTAGAAAAACGAATATATATGCTGACCTCTTAGTCCATAGATCAATGCACGACACCTTTAATATTATGATTTTTGATGTTTCCTTGATAGATTATATTAATCTCATAATTTTAAATATGATTAGAATATAATCCCTTTATACTGCTTTGTGGTGGCTTTGTAATAATTTAAAAAAAAAGGTGGAGTACGGATCAGAAGCTTAGAACGTCGCCGTTTTTGCAGTGGCCGGCTGTCTTTCATGTCGTTTTCAGCGCTGTGAGGAGGCATCAATGCGCTGAAGCGCCTTGGCCTTCCCATTTTACCCTTTTCAACTTCTTCCAGACGCCTAGAAGAATCTGAAGAACATTAAATCTCGGCACAAAGAATAGCAATCAAGCAAGCTAGCTCAAGGGATGCTACGCAGTAGCATGAAGAAGAGCAAGAGACTTGAGTTCTTCCTCGAGTGCGTCATTTCTCTGTGCGTCATAATTCCGCTCGTGAATGCTTCAATCCACGAGTATGCGAACGAAGCTTTCATTCATAGGTCAAATGCTTTCTTCTTCCATGGCGGCAGCGAAGGACTTTACGCTTCTAAGATTCGCGATTCTTCTACTCCTGTTCCCCCAGACAAGCCTCTCAAGGGCAAGTCCTTTATTAGGTACTTCTCTTTTTTTAACTGGAATTTTGATCCTTTTCTAGGGATCCTTATTCCCTTGAATTGTTTGCCTAAATGCATTTCCTCTTCCATGCCTTTGGTTTACACTCTTGATAATCGTTCCAAAGTCACTTTGTCGTTTCGCCTTTTTTTTTTGTTTTGTTTTGTTTCTGCTGCATATTTTATATCGGTGTTATCGGAACGAGCTCTATTACCTTGGTTTTGTCTTCATTGCCTGGATTCTGAGTGCCCAGTAATGCAAAACGCCAAGCCTCCTAGGTTCTCAATTAGCCCTTTCTTGACTTACTTTGGATGGCCCTTTCTACCATATACGTGTAATAGAAACAGCAGGATTGCAACAATGGCCATGTAGCCTGGTGGCATGAAATGAAAGCTCCCAGTGGGTGGTTGTGAGTTTCATCCCGCTTGCAACCTGAGACCATACTTACTTTTGTTAGGACATAATTTTTTATCAAGCAGATACTTTTATGGCCTCGGACTTTTTCTCTGCTATGAGAAATTCTATACCTGATGTTAGCTGCGATAGGGTGATTATCAGATTTGGCTTATAATCGTAGATTTTGTCAATGAAAAAAATTAGCTGCCCGCTGAAACTGTTCATCTTAATTGGTTTAATTGAGGATGATTTCATTCTCACTTATAGAACTGCAGGTTTGACACCGTCACTTTTGTGAGGCCTAAGGAATATGCAAATAAGCATAATGAGATGCAGCAAAACACTGGCTTGGTGGAAGCCATAATACTTGAGGTAAAGGATAGAGAAAGAATTGGAGGTTCGTTTCTGAAGTCTGATTTGATATGCTGCACACCTACTCTTTCTAAAGAGGGACACTGCACTACTGGGGAAGTTATCATTCTGAAAAACCAAGAAAATTCTGAGTTTCCTAAACGGATTAAGACATTTTTCCAAGGAAATAATGAAGAAGTTAAAATGGAAACGCAAAGCATCCAAATAAATAGCACAGGGATGTACTACCTTTACTTTATGATTTGTGACCCTCAGCTTAAAGGGACAATTGTAAAAGGAAGGACTGTATGGAGGAATCCTGATGGTTATCTGCCAGGGAAGATGGCTCCTCTTATGACGTTCTATGGCTTTATGTCATTAGCATACCTCCTGCTTGGCCTTGTCTGGTTCCTGCGATTTGTTCAGTTTTGGAAGGATATCATTCAGCTGCACTACCACATTACAGCAGTAATTGCTCTTGGAATGTGCGAAATGGCTATATGGTACTTTGAATATGTCAATTTTAATTCTACTGGAACTAGGCCAATGGGAATCACTTTGTGGGCTGTGACATGTAGCTGTGTCAAAAAGACTCTTTCTCGCCTTCTTCTATTGGTTGTCTCAATGGGTTTTGGTGTGGTGAGGCCAACCCTTGGTGGTATCACTTCAAGGGTTCTTCTTCTTGGGCTGGTTTACTTTGTTGCATCAGAGGCTCTTGAGCTTGTTGAAAACCTGGGCAACATCAATGATTTTTCTGGGAAAACAAAGTTAGTTTTGGTCCTTCCTGTTGTTTTCCTAGACACCTGCTTTATTCTTTGGATTTTTTCATCCTTATCTAAAACATTGGAGAAACTTCAGGTAATTTGTTTTTTACTGGATTTCAACCTTCTCATTGCTGCCTTAGCTCTCAGTTTGTTTGTTTAGTATGTCTATCCTTCTGTATTTGTGTGCTATTTTGATCGTGCCATAGTATGTCTATTTTTCTTCTTTTGCTGAGGCTAGTGGTTCTTCTTATTTTGTGTGCTTTTTATTATTCAAGCTTTCGTCTGTGAAATGTGCAGTACTATATTGAAGAATCAATTTTATTTAATCTTTGCTTTTAATTTTTGGATGCAGATAAGGAGAAACATGGCTAAACTGGAGCTTTATAGAAAATTTACTAATACTCTTGCGGTGTCTGTGCTGCTCTCTATTGCATGGATTGGATTTGAGGTAGTTTTGCTGGGGAAAAAAATTTATATTTTGCTATGGGATTTACTGCATTGGAGTACTTAAGGATTTTGCTTTGGTTTGTGAGTTATTGCTAACTAGGTTTTATTGACCAGCTATACTTTAATGCAACTGACCCTTTGAGTGAGTTGTGGCGAATTGCTTGGATTATTCCTGCTTTCTGGACGCTTCTTGCATATGCTCTGTTGGCGGTGATATGTATCCTTTGGGCTCCTTCTCGTAACCCTACTAGGTACCATCCTTTTCTATGAGCTTTATAGAGTTGGGTATTTTTGTTGAATTTGTATGACTGTATCATGAGTCCTCTCCTTTCAATTATGTTTTGCTTACTTGAAATAATAAATTAATTGACTTTTATGCAGTTTCGCAATCTAAATTCTAAATCATCCTGATGAACTACTTAAATGCGTATATCTTATTTCTATTTACTTTCAGATTCAATTACATTTACCTCTTCTGAAGTTTTGAAATCAATTCTTACACCTTCTCTGGTTTCAATTGAAAACCAAAACCTTCCCTAAAGTTTATAAACCCCACATTTAAACTCCGCATAGTTTTAACAATATTGCACAAACGCCCTTAAGTCTTTATAAGCATTAACTTGGCCTTTTGGTGATGCATTCTTGTTAATATGACGGAGGTTTCCATATAAACTGAAACTAGATGGTGGAGTGTAGGTTCTAAAAATCCCAGGGGAGGTGAACATAATTTTGCTCATCATTTTATTTGAGATTGTGTTTCAAAGTGGTTATTGGTGCCTTCAGGTATTCTTTGTTCATTGCAAAATTTGAGGATGTGTTTAGCTGGTTGAAGGTGTAATGGATGAAGGAGAAACTGAAAATGCATCTAGATATGAAGCTTGTTTTGATGCATTATGATTATAGCCCTTCTGATATCTTTCACTTTCACTTCTATCAAGCTGACCCAAAGTGAATGACAATATTACTGTTGTTGTTATATTAACTAGAGAAATGTCACCTGTGCTGACGCACAAGTAGCTTCAAATAGTTTTGAAATCACGTGTATTTCAAGAAGTAATAATGGCACGACAATGAATAAACAGTGGCCAAATATTTAGTTTTTATATAGATATTAGATCACTATCCTGTCCAGTAATGCATGGGTTCCCAAAAAAAATTAAAAGCAAAATTATATCTGCCTTTTTCATTAGATGTAAAAGAGAAGATAATTTAGTTTATATGTTTTTATTGCATAGAAATGGATGAGTGCTATTTTTATTTGGCATAAAGGGTGTCTTGAATTACATGGGATGTCCTCTGCTAAGGTGGTGTTAAAGTTAATTGAGAAGAGTTTAATTTTTCAAGTTGAATCGTTTATATTCATGTATTTCTGTATTAAGAGAAATACTGACTAGAAAAAAATGTGATTGTGCAATGAGTCTGTTGGAAGCATTAGATATTCATGCATTAGTCAAGGACTAGTATACATCAAGGGTCACTTGTCTTGTGCTAGAGGAGGGAGGCTTATTCAACATCTCATCTTTATACCAATCCCATATGTATAAAATATATATTTCCATTTTTATATCTCCTCTTGTACTATCTGCATATACTTTTTCTTTATCTATAATTGACGGTTCTGTAGGTTTGCATGTTTCTTGTATTGGTATTTCTGCTCTGGCATGTACCTGACAAATGAATACCTTGATTCCTAGGTATGCCTACTTAGAGGGAACAGGAGATGACTTTGATGAGGAGGGTATCTCTCTGACAAGTGGCGTAATGAAGATGAGCGGCGACGTGGCTGCTAAGCTGGACCGGAAAGAAAGAAAAGGGTCTAGTGCCACAGATCTTACATATGTGGAAGATATTGAGGAAGATAAGCGTGAGTAATATTGTTTAACCCCGCCTGTATAGCAATGGACATGGATTGGATTCCGTATGACTTCTTTTCTTTCAGGAGGCCCTTTGGTGTGTTCATAAGCATGTGTGGTTTATATGTAAGACAGAACAGACCATTTGGCAAATGGAAATTAGGCTAAAATTGTTCAAATGTAAAAGTGGTTCTTACCAACATAAATGGATATAGAACAAGACTTTAGCAGAAGCGCATGGTGTGATCAGATTCAGATCACAGTCATTCTTTCATTTTCATTCAATTGCCTTAATTAACCTTGCCAACATTCTCCGAACCTGAATCTTCTCAATCGAGTCATCTGCTGAATTAGAGGGGTTCCCATGGAACTTAAGTTATACCATTCACGTACTCCCCCTTCGTCTTATTTATATGGTCATGTTAACTACTTTCATAAAATTAAGGAGATTAATTAAAATTAGATAATGTCAATATTTTTTTTTAACAAATTTTCAATGTTGTACCTAATCAAACTAATGTTATTAAGCTAAGAGTGAAGGAGATAACTGGTAAGGGCGTTTTTGTGAATGTTTCATTGGTATTTGACTAAATTTTATAAGTGATCTTATTTTTAGGAAAATTTGCAGATACTTATAATTTTCTTCAACTTTTTTTTTAAATGGTAAAAGTTTTCTTTATTTTTTTAACTGAAGTTTTCTTTATTTTTGTTTTAATCAAATTATTATGGTTTAACTCATTTGGTGTGTTAATTTCTGAAAGTTAAAATTATTAATAAATTGTTAATGCATGATTAAGTTAAAAAAATTAATTTAACATTTTTGGCCAAAAAATAAAATAAAATTTAATTTAATACAATGTTTACATTTTTTATTGTGTTTTTCAATCAAAATTATTTATGTATAAAAATTATTTAGAAAACATAATTATATAAATGAGTCATAAAAATTATATAAGTGATTATAAAGTTATTTAATCTTTTAGTGAAAATATGTAAGTTTTTAATTTCATTTTTAAAAAAATTCAAGAATGTTAACATTCAGAAATTAACAAATATAATAGATCAAATTACAAATATTCAATTGAAATGAAATAAATTTAAGAATTTAAATTAAAAAAAACTATAAGAAAGTACAAATTAGTTTTTCGCCTTGTATCAAATGCCAATAAGTAGAGTCTTACAAATTACTCTCTTCAAGCCCAATTATATGGTGCTTTTTATAAAAAAATTTTGGTCTTTAATCTAAAGTATTTGATAGGATATTAATCATGTTTTTATAATATTATCTCTATTCAAACTCATTAATCATAAAAGAAAATATAAAGTAAATTTAAATTTTTTTTATTTAAATAAAGATTAAATGAGAAGTTTACTATTATTTTCATCCCAACTTATAAGATATTTTTTGAGAAGATTTTATATTTCAAAATATAATATACTTTAACAAAAATATCGTTTTATTAATGAATTTTTTTCAATAATACACTTTCTATTATATTCTCTCATTTTAATATTCTTAATAAATAAAATATTAAATAGAAAGTATTTTTAAAAATTTATATTTTTATTTTAAAAAATAATGTTGTAAAGTGTGTTTATGAGCTTTCTTAGCATAGGATTTGACCAACCTTTGTTGATAATGTAAAAATTAGCTTTAGGTCCCCAATATTTTAGTTGTTATTGATTGTATACATAATTTTATAAAAATTTTTATAATCTAAAATGAAGGAGGCATTATATTGTCAAACAAAGTTAATAACTTAATTTTGAGTGAAGTGATGGGAGCAACAGTTCATCAAAAACAAAAAATTGATGGGAGCAACATTTATTGGTTCATTAAAAATTGCCCGAATCCGTACTTGTTGGTTTTAATTGTACAATTGACAATGATACTCTCTCCAATCCTATTCATAAGATAAAATTTTTTTTTAATCTTATTTATAAATTATCTTAATAAATTTTTATTGTAAATTTTTTTATTTAACTTTCATTAAATGTTGGATAGAATCTATCTGTAATTTTAATTTACGTTGCATGGCAGTAATTTGTTCTCAGTCAGTGTCGCTGAATAATGACAAAGAAATAATTGTCATCTTTCCAGGGGGCTCCCACGGAATCCAAACCCTTGAAAAATTTGGTTATAATTTTGTCAAATTCTGAGTTTTGACTTTCATTTGTCGAGTTCTAAAAATCTTCGTTTAGAATGTCTGTCTCATGAAAACGATGTAATTTCTGTAAATTACATGATTAAAATGAAGCCAAGAAACTTAGGATTATATGGATGGAATTAAAAGCCAAATGATTAAAATGCTGTGAACTGACACTTTTGAATTGGAAAGTCAACGCCCCATTATGTTTCTTCTCTAATTTTATTCCAATTAAAAATTTTCATTAACCAATAATCCATATTTTTAAAATAAATACATAATATTAAAACATATAATAATAAAGATGATTAGTGAAAAGTGTCTCTGAAAATGTAACAGCTTTGATAATTTCAGAACAAAACTCGTAAAAAAGAGCAGTAGTCGGTGTACGTATACAAGTAGTTCACCACATGGCGCATCGCATGCAAATATATACACATGCATGATCATCTTCTATTAATGGCCAATGAATCATCGATTCCGTTTTCTTCGTCAAATTTCACGTCGATATCGTCAAAAAAACTAACACTCTACTTGCTTTGTCCATTTCTTTCGACGCTTGGTTAATTTCTTGCACTCTCAAACCTTTCCGCTGCACAGAACCCATTTTCGTTTTGGGCTCAATCGAACTAGACTTGGATGAAACTGTTGCTTGATGCGATTTAATTTGCATGATAGGTCTGTTGGGTTTTGTCTGATTTATTATTAGGATTTCGGATTTTTCGTTTCGGAGATAATAGGTTTTTATTAGGAGGAAAATATGGTAGAGAAGGTAAAGATTATAAGTTTTGTGTTTAGCGTTTGGATTTTGCTTTGGGGGTGTTGTGAGGGAAGGTTTGTGGTGGAGAAGAACAATATAAGAATCACGAGTCCGAATTCGTTAAAAGGAACGTATCAATGTGCGATTGGGAATTTTGGGGTTCCAAAGTATGGAGGAACCATGATTGGCTCTGTGGTATACCCCACAGAGAATCAGAAGGCTTGCAGAATTTTCGATAATGCTCCTTTTAAGTCCAGGCCTGGAAGTTTTCCCACCTTTCTTCTCATAGATCGTGGAGGTTAGCTTTCCTTCTCATTCTCTCTCTTGTTCATCCTTTAATCTCATCATTCGTTATGTTTATAAGCCCTTATAGAATCTCTACAATATTCATCCACGTGTTCTCTTTCTTATGCATGGGCCAAACAGTAGAATATTCGATGTTTGATTATATGTATTCAGTATCTTTCAAGGAATTAAAACAAAACAAAACATGAACAAGTTAGTTAATATTGAGAAGTCATCTCTGGAGGAAGGAAGTGAAGTTTATGCCTATGATCACTCTTCTTTACCATTGTTAGATTGCTTCTTCACTTTAAAAGCGTGGAATGCACAGAAGGGAGGAGCGGCAGCTGTTCTGGTTGTGGATAACAGGATGGAGCCACTAATAACGATGGACACCCCAGAAGAAGGAGCGAATTCAAATGATGATTATGTGGAGAACATTAACATTCCTTCTGCTCTTATCAGCAAAACTCTAGGGGATAGCATCAAGAAAGCCCTCTTGAAAGGAGACATGGTTAAAGTAAACCTTGACTGGAGAGAGGCTCTTCCACATCCTGATGATAGGGTTGAGTATGAGTTTTGGACTAACAGCAACGATGAGTGTGGGCCAAAGTGTGACATGCAAATCAGTTTTGTGAAAAACTTCAGAGGAGCAGCTCAGCTGCTTGAGAGGAAAGGGTTCACACAATTCACCCCTCACTACATTACTTGGTATTGCCCTGAAGCATTCATAAACAGCAAGCAATGCAAGTCTGAGTGCATAAACCATGGGAGGTACTGTGCTCCAGATCCTGAACTTGACTTCAGTAGAGGGTATGAAGGCAAGGATGTTGTTATGCAGAACTTGCGCCAGGCTTGCTTCTTTAGAGTGGCAAATGAAAGCGGAAAGCCTTGGCAGTGGTGGGATTACGTCACCGACTTCTCAATCCGTTGCCCCATGAGAGAGGACAAGTACACTGAAGAATGCTCTGATCAAGTCATTAAATCTCTAGGTAGGTTGGACACTTGATTTCTTTTTGCATTAATTTTAGTTTATATATGTATGTGTTATGTATGTATACTTGCATTTTTCTTTGTTGTTTTGAATGTCTAGCAAATATACATGAATTAATCAGTTTTAGTTTACTTGTGGTTGAGTTTCATAGATATTCATTATCAAATTCTTTAATACTCTGCAGATATTTTCAAGAACTAAAAACTATGTCCAAGACCAGTTTAAGGAATGCGTTCGAATGTCATCATTTTAATGAAAACTCGTTAGTAAATAACTATTATAATCTACACTTTATTTGTGTCATTTAAGATCCCTAGAATTCACTTCTCTTCAAATGCTGAATCTTTGTCACTGTGAAAGAACAAAACCTATTGTCAAATCTCAACGTAAATAAGAATTATATACCTGGCTGTCCTGTTATTTTCTCTTGACATAAATTCAAGCAACATTATGCTAAGTTGAGAAATAACCAAACACTATTTTTCACTTAACAGGTGTTGATCTGAATAAAATTAAAGATTGTATAGGAGATCCCCTTGCAGATGCTGAAAACCCTATTCTCAAAGCTGAACAGGATGCACAGGTTGGTTTTATAAGCTGTAAACTATTTTTCCTTTTTTTTCTTTTGCTGCACTTGTTTTCGAACTGGGTCATACAGTTTATTTTGTTGGTATCATGTCACATTCTGTTCCACTTTTTGGCTTCAGATTGGGAGGGGTCCTCGTGGTGATGTTACTATACTGCCTACTCTTGTTATAAACAACAGACAGTATAGAGGTTTGAGGAAGCTCTTCTAGATATCTTGATGGCTATATAGTTATATTCTACTTTATAACATTTGTTTTCTACTGATTTTAGGTAAGTTGGAAAAGGCAGCAGTTCTCAAGGCAATCTGTGCAGGTTTCCAAGAGACCACTGAGCCATCAATATGTTTAACTCCAGGTCCTTATTCCATTTCTTTCTCGTTCTCTTTACTCTAAGGAAATCATTAGTCTCACAGGCATCCCTAGGCTCACGTGGTAATGGATTATGTGTATTGGCTATTTGGTACTTCCTGATGCTTCCTCATGTTATTTTAGCATGAAGGATTTTCTTCTTTAAAGCCAGCAAATCAGAAGGGAAAATTTCTGACATCCATCTCTTTAAAAAAAAAATGCATTTTATTTTTGTGGAGGCAAATATTTTGTTCGTAAAATTATCCCATTGAAATCGAACCTTGTTAAAAGCTTATGATTTTACTGATTTTTCTTTGAAGATATGGAAACAAACGAGTGTTTGGAAAACAATGGTGGTTGCTGGCAGGACCCATCTACCAACATTACTGCGTGCAGGGTATTTATTTAAGTGTTCATCACATTTTTGAGAAAAGATTTATCATCATTACTTCGTTTATTTCTCATGGGATCTGGTTCTTCTTGCTTTTTTTTACTACAGGATACATTCAGAGGACGAGTGTGTGAATGCCCTATTGTTCAAAATGTGAAGTTTGTAGGTGACGGATATACCCACTGTGAAGGTAAATAATTTTGACTCGTACGGAGTATAAAACAGTCAGACACGTTTGTACTGTCTTTTTCCCTGCAACCAAGTGCTGATTCATTTTCTTTTCAGGTGAAAGCTACAAGTGGTTGTTCTGACTTTTATGTCTTTCATTTTTAAAGACTGCATTTGTCACTTAATTCTTGTGAGTAATAGCTTGTTGAATCTAGCAGCTTCAGGAGCATTGCGATGTGAAATCAACAATGGAGGTTGTTGGAAGGGAACACAAAGTGTCAGGACTTACTCAGCTTGTATTGTGAGTATTTCTCTATGCACCAATCTGTACAGCTTATGCTAGCTTTTGTTCTTTCTTGCTTTCATTTTTCTCTTTTTGGTTTGGGACAAGGGCTGGAGAGTGAGGATGATAGAAAATAATTAGATGAAATTCATGATCAAAGATAAAAAGACTGAGACAAGTATGAATGTATTCAGGAAAAAACTTAAGTCCCTGTATTTTATTCAAGTTTTGCTATAAGTCTCTGCACTTTTTTGAATATTTTAGATCTTTATATTTTTGTTTTTTGGTGTTTTAGATCCCTCCATAAACTGTTATAAGGACCTAAAACACCGGAAAATAGTGCGGGAACCTATAGCAAAACTTGAATAAGATGCAAAGATCCAAAATTTTGTTTTCCATATTTATAAACAATGCTTAGATATGAGCATATCAGATATGCTTTTCAAGAGAATCCATTTACACTTTAATTTACACGTTCACATTCATATAATTCGATCGAGTCTAGTTGAGAACTTCTCTGCATGATACGTTGGTTCCCTGTTTAACTGACGGAGCAGGATGACCGTACAAAAGGTTGCAAATGTCCACCTGGGTTCAGGGGTGATGGAGTCCGGTCCTGTGAAGGTAATGGCATAAAGTTACAAGTTGAGCTGCACTATTCACAGCTTGTTAATAGCGCAGCTCCTTTTAACTTTTATGAATTATAGATCATTGATATTGAGCTTTGTCTATTGCATAGAGTATTAATAATGATATTTTTGTGGGACTCGTGTTGCAATGTTACAGATATAGATGAGTGTGAAGAGAAGATGGCTTGCCAGTGCCCAGAGTGCAAATGCAAGAATACCTGGGGAAGTTACGACTGTAGCTGCAGTGATGAGTTGTTCTACATACGAGAAAATGATATGTGTATTGGTGAGCCCTGAGATTTTATGTTTCTATCAGCGTGCATGATAATTGCTGAAGTTTCTGTACAAATCATTGCCATTTTCTTAATGTGATGTAAATTCAGGCAAGTATGCTAGTTCAGGAGGCAATGGGGGATTTATTTGGCTGATTATGTTCATATTGGTTGCTGCTGTTGCTGGGGGATATGCATTTTACAAGTACAGAATACAGGTATTGTTCTTCTTGGGATAATGAGACTTTCAATCTTTTAAATTTGTTTCAATTCTTTTTCGAGTTTATATTTTTTTTATCAATTTAGTTCCTTGCATTTTCTTAATATATTATGTTAATCCTTTAAGTTTTAAAACACAAATTAACTCTTAAATTAATCTAATATATAAAGTATGTTAATGACTTGGCACATATATGTAGCTAAATAAGAATAAATTAGCTAGAAAATCGATATTTTTTTTTCTTAATATAGTCTCTTACTCTATGCTTTGTTCTTTTTTATAAAAAATTTTTAATATACTTTTTTGTACATAAATAATTATACTTTTTTCAGTAATCTATATGGTTGTAATTGATATTTCATTATCTATGTCAGCAAATTTTAACAATATTGCCTTCTCTTCAAATAATAAGTATCAAATCGATAATCAAAATAAACTTAAGAGATCAATTGATAAAAATTAAACTTAATAGACCAAATCAATAAAAGAGGCAAACTTAAAAAACTAAAAATTTCATTACCCATCTTCTTCAATTTGATGGACAACTTCACGAGGTAGATGCTAATATGTGGATCCCACAGTGAATGGTTAGCAGATTTTACTTGAATTCATTTTGAGCATTGACATCCTAAAATTGTTTTGTTTTGTTTTTTTTTTTAATGAAATATTTGCAGAGATATATGGATTCAGAAATAAGGGCAATTATGGCACAATACATGCCCTTGGATAATCAACCAGAAGTCCATAATCAAGCTCATAATGCAATCTAAGATTTTAGCGGACATCTTTTTGCTACGAGACCAACATATCCCCTGAAATCTTCTGCAGTTGTTTATTTAGTTAGTAGGGGGAGGGAGAGAGAGATCAAGATGATTTCTTGTCACGCATATAAATGAGGCAATTTGGTATCATGCTTCCCTTTCCTTGACAATTTATATCAATTTAGGTGTTTGTAATATGATCTTCTAATAATGCATTAAGTTATCTTTTATATATAGCATTGATCGTCCTAACTGTGAAATTTACGATTATGTTACTTTTTTTTCATTAACTACATACTTATATTTCCTAGAACAAGATAAGTCATATGAAAAAAATATAATTATTGAATAAATAAAAATACCCGAGTTTCATTATTAAATATTTAATTTTATTAGAGCAAGACCCATCATAACTTGAATTTCAACTAAACAAAAAATCTTTAAATTAGTATCATGGAAAGATGTGACTTGAGGTTGTATCACATGGGAAATGTATACTTAGCATGGAAGTCAAGGTTTAAAAAATGGTTTTTACTTTTATCATTGTGCAATTTAGTGAGCTGTTATCAAGGCATACAAAAAATAGAGGAAAAATTATATATAGATCTCGTGTAGTAGACTTATAAGTAAATCTCACAAAATTAAAAAATCACAGCCATTCTTAGAACTTGAGTGTAATTTAAAATTAAACTACAAAAACAATAATACTTTTATTAAACATACATTACATCAATCAAATAATTAATTTATAACAATTTCATCATCAATTTATAATTATAATTTTAACCTTTTACAACTATAAATTTACATATCTAATAGTTAAAAATCATGTTACTAACAATGTTTAATATTAATTGTTTGCAATTATTTCATTAATAATTTACAATTATAAATTTAATTTTTTTACAACTATAAATTTACATATTTAATAATTAAATTAATTAATTTAATTATTAAATATATTGTAAATTACTGATGAAATAATTATAAACTATTTAACTGATATAATATATACATATTTAATAAAGACATTATTATCTTTTTATCCTAACTTCAAACTCAAATCCCAAGAGATTTACTTGTAATTTTTGAATTTCACAATCTTTATTTATAAATAAATCTATTTCACAAAACTTATATATAATTTTCCCAAAAAGAAAACCTTATCACCTGCGCGCAACTCCAAAGATATTTACAATAAAATTATCTTAATAGACTCAAATCAGTATGAATTGATATTTACAATAAAATTATCTTATAGATAAGAGTTGAATACAAAAGCAGACTGCTGGTAAAAACATAAAAACAAAAGCATACTCCAAGGATTCTTTTTTAAAAAAATAATAATAAATACCACCACAGAACTAATCACGCCACTAAATTTGGGCGAAATTAAAAAAAAACCCAAAAAATTGATGCCAAATATAATTCATGAGCACAATATTATGGGGAAAAAATTAAGTTAATCTCAAATAAAAGCGTTAATTGTAATCTCAATTCTAGACTAACTGATGGTAACACATGCTAGTTGTACTGGAAAACATCCCTTCTTTGGAGGGGGAAAAATCCTTAACATTGAGAGCTAAAGAAGTTATATTTCATACTAGTTCCACAGAAAGGGAATTATATGACATTTTAATTTTAATGTTTTATATGTCACGAAATAAAATTTAGTCCAACAGGCTAAAATGCATTTTTCCCAACTTAAAATTATTTTAAATAAAAAAATATTGAAGACAGAGAACCAAAAATTGCCCCCTACAACTTGAGATTAATTATCAGATTCGATCAAGATTCTTCAAGTCTTATATTTCATACAGGAATTCATTCTGGAACAACCGCAGTAACAAATTAAACTATAAATAAACATAAAAATCTGCTCTTCCATCCCTCCCGGTTTTTTTTTTTTTTACGAAAAAAGAAATTTACCCTGACATTTTTATTTTTCAAGCAGATCTTCTGCCACTGAGTGGCAAATGAAAAATTAAAGCAACACCAACACCAACAAACACCATAAAAGACATCTGCAGACATCTGACCGGCATTTTGTGTAAGAAACATATCTTTGTATAGCGAATTACAATGAACATCAAAATGTCAACCTTACGTGATTAAACTAATTTCCCGGTCCAGTTCCCAGGTTTGAGTCCCCAAGTGGTTTGCGTTCCAGTACCAATCTGTAGACATAAAATGCCGCCACTGCACCGCTGCATAGGACAAAAAGGTTGTTACCATACAAAATCTTAGTCACTCAGAAAGATGCAATATAGCTCCAAGAACATGGATAATAAATTTATAGGAATGCTTGAGAAGAGTAGTTCAGCTAAAGGTGAATCCACTAATGTGACCCATGTCTTCTGCTTTACTGTGTCAAGATTGAGAAAATGATGGAGGTTTCAACCCATTTACTTGGGAAACTTAACATAGGTTTGGCATGATAAACACATTACACTTGCCAAATATATATTTGACACAATACGTGTATCATACCTTAACATTTCACACCGCTAGTACTTTTTTGTTTGGTATGCTTGAAAATATTTCATTGAGGTTATTGAAAAATGAAGATACACACACATACCCCTCCAATAGAGTCTAAAATTTTAAAAATTGTTTCTCTCTCGTATCATATTAGTTGCATTACAGCATCGGTGCTTCCTAGATTGAGAGTAAGGCTCGATGAATCTGATGTGGAAGACAGTAAAAATATGGAGAGCAGAGCCCACAAAGATTTTTCTAACAAATGGTGGGCTTACCAAATTTGGCAGCTCCATACAGTGGGTGAGATAGGAATAACGAGTACGGGAAAATTTTCAATAAATTATGACAAGAAAAAAACTAAACATGGAAAATCAAATACTCGTATATCATCTAACAGGATAGTCATATATCATCCATATCAGGTAATTGAGACCCTGCTTTTGAGCCTGGTTTATGATCGGCACAAATGATCAAAGCTACTGAAGAAAAAGGAAAGGATCCTCTCAATACTTTCCTTTCTCTCCTACACAAATCTCCATGGTCAAACGGCTGTGCATTTATCACCATTCTGCTCTTAAAAACAAGATAAATAGATAATATTGCTTCTTTATAGCTGTGACTAAATGAATATATATTTGGTTTATTGCCACAGATCAGTAATCTTCTACTGTTAAATCAAATGGATAATTAAATAAATGGAGGAGTTTGTGTATGGAAAAAGATATGCAAAGAAAATTACAGAGAGGGTCCATTTCCTTGAAAAGGCTGGCCAATTAATCTGTGTTAGCCCCAGTTATAACTCTATAACGTTAGTGGCTTAAAAGACATGTCTTCTGACTGCTAGTACTTCTGAAGCACCTTCAATAGATGGAATATACGTGTGTGTGGTGTGGTGGTGGTGGAAACTTGGAGCTTTCAACTCGTGATGCGCGAATCAAATCATTGACATTAGTAAAATCTGCTTTCAATCAAAAACTGTTATGTTCCTCTTAAATTTGAACACAGTGGTTATCTAAGACTATAAGAAATTATCCACATTGCAATTTGCAACGTAGGAAACATTCTTCAATCAATGACCTAAGAAACCCTTTCATACAGAGAGGCATGCCTATTCAAACCTATGCACATGTAAGAAACCACTACGAAAGTAGGAGAAAGGTTAAAACAGTTCTCAAACAATGGTCACATATATTACAAAAATTATAACAAGAAGATTTCAAGAACCTGATCAAAGTAGTGAACCGAGTTATGGGAGGCGACCCCTGAGAAAAGGAAAAGAAGGAATAGAAACCATCAGTATTTTAAAATTGTTTTCATGGTATGGAGCCACCTTAAAGGTTATCTTTTTCTTCTATTCATGCTTTATTATATTTAAATCAATTTTAAATACAAATGTATTACCTTGCCTAGTAAGATTATCTCTCGCAGGAATAATATGCTTGCTATTGCTGCAAGTCCAACAATTAATTTAGAGTGAGCTTAAAAATCTAGAAGAAACCAATAAAACATGATAGAAGAAAATACAAATCAGTAGATGTTAGGCTAAAATTTAGAACACAAAGTAACACCATCAGGTTATTACACCATGAGCTTTGATGCCAAAACAAATACGAGTCTATTTCTCCTTAAGGCTAGTAAAGTAGAAAGTATTTTACTAAGATTTTTCAAGAAAACATTTGCAATATTAAGTGTACAAAAAAAAGAAAAAAAGAAAAAGAAAAAAGCAGATTGAAGGCATTGATAGCATTGATAATCAATGAAAACCAGATTCAATTAAGTGACCATTCATGAAATAAATGCAAGTCAATCTTATTAAATGGGGTCAACTATGGATTACAATGCCATTGTGCTCTATCATTTACAAAGTTTTTAGGAATGTCTTTAATTAAGAGATATCAATCAACAACTTCCATAAGTGTTTCCTTTGGCCTTCCTCTACCCCTCTTAACAAAGTTCAAAATTATTTATTTCACTCTCCTCACTAGGGCCTCCTATAGTCTTCTTTGTACATGTCCAAACATCTTAAATGATTTTCTACTATTTTTTCCTCAATAAATGCTACAAACACTTTTTCTCATATACGCTCATTTCAAATTTTATTTTATGTATATACCCACACAATCCATTTCAACATTCTCATCTTTGCTACTCTAAACTCTAACTATTTCATTAAAGCTCATCATTCATTACCATATAATATAGCTGGCCTTATAGTAGTTCGATAATACTTCCCTTTAAATTATGAGGTATCTTCAATTGCAAATAACGCATTTAGCCTTTCTCCAATTAAACCATCCAACTTCTTACATGCAACATCCCCATCGATTTCTCCTCATGTTGAACAATAACTCCAAAATATCTAAACTTTTCACTTAAAGTAAATTCGATCTCTCAATTTCACTTTCAAATTACTATTGACAAACCTCTTATTAAAATTACAATGCAAATATTATGTCTTTTTCCTTCTCAAGCAGAAACTTTTGACTCCAATGTCCCCTCTATAATTCTAGTTTACAGTTAATCTCATCCATATAAAGCATGCATTTATAGTGGTCAAGTATATGAGAGCCAAAAAATATTTGACCACATACGTCAGGATAAAAATGAAAAATAAAGCAAAGATGGCTCAAGCTAAGCCAATAGCACCTGCCACCCTGATTGAGAGAAACATCACAATCCTTGTCTCTAACTTAAAGCACTCCTCCACCATTTTTGTTTGGCACATATATTAAACTATAAGAGTTGAAACAACATGTGTATATCAGATCGCTTGGCTTCAAAAATTTATTTCACCCAACCAACAATTTAACAAAATTGAATGATCTTTTAAGAAAAAAGAATATCAAATTCCCCAAGTTCATGATTGTTTTCACAGTCAATTTTAAGCCCAAAATCAAACAATTAGATGTTACGTGCAAATGAAATTCATTTTGTTTCTTTTAAAGAATAAATTTTCACAATCAGCTCTCTGTGACTTTGAATCCTATTATGACTGTTGCTTGCTACAAGATTTATCTCCTTATTCTTGCTCTGCTGCCACGTTAGTCAAAATATAGAGATAGCTATACAGAAAAAGTCAAGGAAAAGTAAGATAATACTTGAAATCACTTGAGTCGATGAAGAAAATACGATCAAATTAGAAGGAACTTCAAACCTGTCATAGCACTGGATGAGGAATGGATACAGAATCTTCAGCAAAATATTATGACACTAATAGTAAAATCTCTGGCAATAGCCAATTGAACTATCATTTAAAAACATCAGCAATTTCTTTAAATTGCACAAAGCATAAGCTTTTTTGTACTCACAGCTCCAATTAAATTAATAAGCTTATTAGTTTAGCTGCTGCACCTCTTTGTAAAATCAGTACCAACTAATGCTTTGGCTTGTTACAATCAGTTTATGTAGTTAGTCTAATGATTATATTGAATGATACAGACCAAATGTGGCATCAATTGATACATAAAATGATAGCATTGTATGATTGGCTACAAAAATTGAGGATGGTTAAATT